CTCTGCCCCCGCCCACCCCCACAGGCCAGGGCTTGCCCAGAGGAACACGGAGGGGGACCGGGCTGCCCCTTTCCTGCTGGTTTTCCAGGTGGCACTTTCCAGCTGTGCACGAGGGAGATGGGAGACCCCGTGTCCCCCCCCAAGGCCCCAGGACAGAAGGTAAGAGCCAGGCAAGAGCTGGAGAACAGAATTTAAGGAGTTTGACAAAACAGAGAGGCTTTGTGGTGAGGAACGAGCCTTCTTGCGGAAACACACAACGCAGTTGCAGCAGGAACGTTTCTCTCGCCTCCAGGATGTTATTTCTGGCTGAAGGCAACAAGACACAGAGGGACACACACCCCCCTCCAAAAGCCGCAGGGGACTCGGGGCACCTGTAAGAGGAATGGGCACCCCCCTCCCCTCCACAGACGGTGGCAGGAGGGAAAATCCAGCCACGGCAGACAGGGCTCCTCCCGGGCGGCGATGGCACGGCTGGCAGGAGGCACAGGAAGAGGGAAGGGATGGACCCCAGACCCCGGCCAGGAGCCGCAGCTCACGCATACCCCGACCAGGGGCTGGGCTGGACGGAGGCACGAGAGGGAGACGGAGAGTCCTGGGCCGGCAGAAGGGGCTGCGCTCTGGAGGGGGGCAAGTTCAGGCTTTGCACCGGGAGCTGGGGCTGTTCCGAGGCAACAGCAGCGCCCGGGAATGGGGGAGGCCGCCCCCCAGGTCTCCAGGGCCGTTCCCTGCCCAGGGACTGACGCAGGTGCAGAGCTCAGCCCCAGGCCCTGCCCTGGGTGTCCCCTCGTAGGGACCAGGAGCACCCCGAGCGCTGCGTCAGACCTCAGCTCTCGCTTCTGCCGTGGCGACATGCAGAACTGCTGCACCTCAGTCTTCAGAAACAAGACAGGCTGCCGGCTTGCTTTCCAAATTAGGTTTTTAATTAAATAAATAACGGCGAGGGGTCTTCAAGGCAGTATCACTTCACAGTGTAGGGCTTGGGCAGGGGGAAGGGGGAAAGAGTCCAGCATTGGGAGCGGCTCAAAGTGAATGTGCTTTGTAAGAAGGAAAAAGAAAACCCCAACAAAAAACCAAAACCAAACCTCCTCCCCAAGTGACTCCCCCTCCCTGTCCCAGCCATTTCCACCCCTCTCCCTTAAAGTTACATGGGAAAAGCGCCGCACTCATGTTGAAAGACCCCATGCGAATCTGTAAACAACACTGAAGAACATAAATAAGAGATTTCTGCCTCCCCCAGCCTCCCCTCTCCTTTCATTAGGGCTTGAAACAAACCAAAGAAAAAATGGTTCCAGGAAAACTTAAGGATGTTCTTGGCTGATGGAGAGGAGATGCCAAGGCCTGGCCCTCCCTGGGAGGGCTGCCCTGGCTCTCTCCCCACCTCCCCTTCTCCTTCCAGCCAAGGAGCTTCCTCCCTCCCCCAGAAAAGGGGAATCACAGCCTGGGCAGTTCCACTATGGAGCGGGCACTCGTATTTGTTTCCAGTTTCCAGCAACTGGGAGCAGCCCGAGGGGAGACCCCGGTTACGGCGTCTGTCTGACTGAGGGAGGGGGCTCACAGCGGGGGCCGGGGCTCAGCACCCCCGGGCAGAGCCAGCCGGGGTCCAAAGCAAAGCCCTGTCAGCGCGGAGGGGACACAGTCTCTGGTCCTGTCACCCCACACAGCTGCCCGACGCTGTGTCCGCGCTCCCACGGCCAGGCTGAGCACAACCTCAGGGAGGATGCGGGTAAGGGTTTAGTCATCTTCCAGATCCACTGGCAGCAGAACCGACTGCAGCATCACAGCCTGAAGGCCTCTACCAAAAAAGCAGAAAACTTCAACCCAAACCCCTTCCCAAGTGCAGAAAATGGCTGGAGGGAGGGAACATCTGCACCAGAGCCTTGCCCAGCAAGCCAGCAGACAGCATTCCCTGCACGGAAAAAAAGGGGAATGAGAACCCGTGGATTTGAGCCGGTGGCAAACCCCGGACTGGGAGGGGTCGGGCAGGAACAGCCCTGGGCTCCAGCGCAGCAGTGGGCACCTCGCTGCCACACGGGACCGTCACCTGCCTGCACGCTGCTGACGGCAGTAAAGACACTTTCCTCTCGGAAAAGGGGGAGCTCCGTGAAGCGGGAGGGGCGGGGATGCCCAGCGACAGCGGCTCTCTCCTGCCTGGGACCATGCCCCGGGGGCTGCACAACCTCCTCCCAGAGCAGCCTCGCTCTGAGCGAGCCAGGCGCTTCCATCCGCGCTTCCCCCGTGCCCGGTGAGGCCGAGTCGCTCCCTGCCAGGAGTGGAAGCACCGCCGGGGCCGACATTGCTCCTGGGCCTAGAAACTCCCTTCACACGTTCTCCACCGCCCGGCTGCGAGGGGAGGGGAGGAGCACCCGGAGCCACGGCCCCGCGCTGCGTCCCTTCCCCAGGCCCGAGGCTGCTGGGCCAGCCACGTCCCGCCGGTGCTGGGGGCAGAGAGGGGGACAGTGGGTGCAGCTGCGCGAGTCAAACGGGGCAGCTGCTGCCCCAGCGCCAGGAGGGGACGGGCAGGACTTCCACTGCCCCATACGGCCTCGGGCCAGGGGCCGCGACTCCTCAGCCTCCCTGGGCATTGCCGTGCCCAGGCAGACGCCCGCAGCACGGGTGGCCCCAGCCCTGCGTGGGGGAGGCCGCATCCTCCACCCCAGCCCCCAAGCGCTCTCAGGGCATCTCTGCGCTCCGAGCGTCCCGGCAGGGCCCAAGGATGACTCCCCCCTCCCTGAGGTGGGGCCCCCCCAGCAGCCTGCCGTTACCTAGGGTGACACGTGGTCAAGGCAACGGGGTGATGGACCCCCCCTCTAAAGCCGGCCGCCAGCTTTGCGTGATTGTGTCAAACACACTGGAGCAGAAAGGTGTTTGGTTTCACTGTAACCTTGGATCAAGGAGGATGGAAAGACAGATTCTGACCAACAGCTCCAAACTGTCCCTGCGGAACAGCGGAAGTTCCAGGATTTCACTCAGTCAGCTCAAAGTCCTTGCTGGGTCTGTGACAGGTTTGCGACTGGAGACTCACTGCGACAAAGGCTCCGACCGAGCCACAGGAGCCGGGCAAGCCTGGTGAGCAGTCAGAAAACTATTTACATCTCCAATGCCGATGAGGCCAAAATCTGTGACCGATAAGGACACTTGCGCAGGGGCCACCACTGCCTCTGGGTCTCTGTCCAAATCCACAGGGCCAGCAATTAAAGGCAAACCCTCATTAATGTCTGCAGGGAGAGTGAAGTCCATGGTTATCGTCTCACCAGAGCTCTGCAACGTCTCCTGCTTCTCTGCGAGTCCTGGTCCTGCGGGCGGCAAGGCGCAGAGCCCCAGCTCCGCGGGGACGAGGCCGGGCTGCGTGCAGGGAGCCGCGCTGCCTCCCGAGGGCGCCTCCTCCGCCGGCTCGAAGGAGCAGTTGGTCTCCGAAGGCGTGCTGCACTCGTAGCCCTGCCCCGACTCGCTGATGCTGCCCAAGCTGCAGGCCGTGCTCTCCACGCTCAGGGGCTCTGCGCGCCACAAAGCGGGAAAGGGAGACAGGGCAGGGGAAAGGGTGGGGGAGAGCAGGCGAAAGAAGGCGGTGAGTGCGCGACACATGGAACCCAGAACCCAGTTCAGTCCCACCTAACCACAGCAGCATCTGTCTCAGGGCACAAACATTTCTGTATTAGAGCAAACACGATCCCTGCCAGCACCCACCCAAGGCAGGCGAGATGCAGCCAGCACATGGGAGGCCATCCGTGTTTCTATGTAAGTTAGAGGAAATCTCACAGAGACACTCCAAGATAAGCCAAATCCTAAATCCTGTCCCCTCGAGCTGACAGCCCCCAGGAGGTGCCCCCCCGACACCCTCATCAGCAGCAGGATGGCGACGGCACGAACCCGCCTGGGGCTGCCCGTGAGCCCCCTCGCAGGCGCCCGCTCTGCTTGGTCCCACCCAACTTCTGGTGCCTTAAACCAGACCCCGGAAGAGGCACTGCCCAAAGACAAACCCTTCTGCTTTGGGCAGGACTGAGGCCACCCCTCCAAGCCTGAGGCAGGAACAACTCAATGTTTAAGTCACTACTGGCCAACGCAGAGACAGACAAGTCTCCTTGGCTCATACCGAGATCTGCCCGGGGCTGGTCCCTGGTGCAGGGCAAAGCGAGCGCCCGGGGAGGGCAGCAAGGGCTGGATACAGCCACAGGAGGAAGGCAAAGGAGGGTCTGAGCCGCATCACCCCCCCTACCTGCACTCTCTATGGCCATCTGGTCCTGGCTGAAGTGAGCATCCAGGCAGCTGGTCGCAGAGGGAATCGGTGGGGAGCTCCGAGAACGACTGGTGTTTTCTACTTCAGCCCCATCCAAGTCATTGTCGGTGTAATCCCTGTGGGGACAGAGAGACAAGCGCTGCCACCGCCTGCCACACAGAAGGGTGGGGGGGAAACGGCAACAGGGACCAAAAACCATCAACAACTAAAGCTCCAGGACTGCAGAGACCCCACCGGAGCGAGCATCCATCCCTTCGGCCTCCACAGAGCCCGGTTCAGGCTCGGCACTGGGTGATCCCAGCAGCTCAGCCCAGCTCAGCCTGGCCCACGGCCCCCAGCGGGCTCTGTGGCTTCCTAAAACACAGAGCTGTGCCCCAGCCCCCAGCCTCAGCCCCTCCCAGAGCGAAATCAACGGCCAGACGCTGCCCCGGGGACAGGCAGATCCCCAGAACCACCGCAGCGCCTCCACAGCCTTGGGGTGCAGCAGGGAGCAAGTGGAGAAAGTATTTTCCCACACTGGGCGGATTTGAGATTTCAGGTATTTTCCTGTTCTGCATCAATAATAATTATTATTATTAATAATAATAATAATAATAATAATAATAATAATAATAATAATAATAATATAATAATATAATAATAATGTTTTTAATTGATTCAACTTAAATGTTTAATTTCGGCCTTTTAAAAAGTTTCAACCTTTTTGAAAAGTATTTTCTGCAATTAGCATCCATTTCAAAATGAGGATTTTGCCTCAAAGGGTGGCAGCAGGGAAATAAATTAATTCAGGTTCCAAACCATCAGAAATAGCGTTATTTTCGAACTTAAAACGCTCCCTTCCCAAAACTGCACTCAACTGTTTCCTTGAGGTCAGCCCTGAATCCCTGACCCTAGCCTTGATTTCCGTGGATGGTTTGTCTGACACAAAACAGTGTTTTCTGATACAAGAAAGCCCACATCCACACAAGTAACTGCTTTATCCTCCCTGCCCACAGTAAGTGTTTATGTTCTGAGCACACCCACTGCACCCTCCACACTCCCACCCAGGAAACCTCCCAGAGCAGAAAGTTCAGGCTTTTAAGCAGAGGCACTCAATAGCGGAACCTTCACTGGGAGGTTAATATTACTAATTTTAGTGTGAGAATATTCCACGCACGTGGCTCCAGGGTGGAGGACGTACTTCTTCCTTCCTAAACGAGTCTGCTGAGTGAAGTAGTCGTAGCGCTCTGATTTTTTCCACATGTAGTAATACTCCACACACTCGCCCACTGACCGGGTGCGGACCTGGGGAGAAACATGGTGGTCAGAACGCCGTGCCTCGAGCGGCACCACGGGGAGCAAGGTCTGTTCTCCCATTTAATCAGCACAGAAAAATTAAGTGTGTTGCAGCAATCTATATAGCTATGGACACATCTGCGGACCAGAAGCACCTACTGAGGTTTCCAAGGTGGTAACAGACCAGAGGAAGAACTCCCCAGAGTGCACAAGTGCTGCTGCAGCCCCTGGTGCGGGTCCGCACACGGTGCCTCCGTGCAGGACCCTCCTGCACTGCCAGCAGCACGCCGAGCATGGGGAGAGCAAACCTGCATCCGCCCAACAGGCTCGCAGTCAATCAGCGGCAGAACTGGACTCTGGTTCTGCCAACTCCCAGCACAGCAGCCTATGTCCTGGGGCCCAGCTCTCCCTACAACAGCCTCTTCCATTCTAGAGGACCCCAGGGGACTTTACACAACATCCACATGCTCAACTCATTCACAGGAAGCACTGCAAGGGCTGAGAGTTTGGAAAGAACTTTTGAGACTCCAGAAAGGGCTAATCAGTAATTAACTGACATCACTCATGCAGGTCAGTGTTGTTTGTGACTTCTCCCACCTGGAAAATAAGGCAGAGCAGGGCAGTGAACAGCCCATCACCTGCGAGCACAAGTCAGCACAAAGCCTGGGGCTGGAACTCGGCAGTCCTGACCTCCCTGCATTAGCTGAGCTCCAAACGTACCTCTGGAGCAAAGGCACGAGCCTCCTCTCCTGTCTGTGGGCCGTGGGGCCGAGCATCCTTACCTTGTTTGCTTGGATCAGATGGAAGTTCTTCCCATGGACCCTGAAGCCATGTTCAAAATTTCTACATTCTTCCTCGCTCCAGGCACAAAGCTCATCTATAGCAGAAAGAAAGATGAATTGGAGGAGATGTACAGAACCTAGAAAGAATTAGGTGTGCCCTGATGTTTGGGGCAGAACCCGAACACGGAGGGCTCTCACCTCTGATAACCTTCACATTGAACCGTAACCTCCGCAGTGCCTCTTCTGCATTGAAGTTGCATTTAACCAGCTCATACAAAGCCTAGGAAACAGAACAAAATTACTCACAGCATGTACCCGAGCAACACACCACAAACCGACCTGCTAGTGACTCACATTTGTCTCATAAAACTTATTTTTCCCAGGAGCCACTTTGCCACTAGCCCCGGTCTGACCACCAGCACAGTCTTGCTTTTCAAGGCCCCGGATTACAAACCCTGGGACTGAAAAGATGCAGCTTTACCAGCAGCTCAGCAGATTACAGCTGTGCCTCCGCTCCTGCAGACCTACTGTGAGTCTAACCTGGCTGCTTAGAGGAAACACAACTGCTCTGAAGTTTCTTAGCCAAGTGTCTGATCCTCTGCTGGCTTCGAAGAACTAGGCGACGCTCTAGAGGACAGATCCGAAAGGATGTTCCTGCTGCAAGCCCTGGCTCAGTTTGGGATACTGGGAGAATGCAGTCAAGGCAGTACCCGTCCCCCGCTTGCCCAGTCCGTTACACGCTTTCCACAAACATCTGTTACTGCGTGGGAAGAAAAGCACTAAACTAGACAGGCCCGTGGTCCGCTCCCCAATAGCCATTCCCGTCTTCCCACCAGGAGGTGAAAATCCTCCCAGACCGCAGCCAAACCGCAGAGCCCCACCAGCCTGCACAGAGGATCGCTGGAGTCTGGCCCTGTCCCCCCTCACCCAGGATCTCCTCAGGACACTGCGGCTGGCGCCAGCAGCACCAGAGCCCCCGCAGGCTGCAGGCAGCCCCCCATGTACCTGCTCGTTGTCCTTCACCACCTCCCCCTCCGGCAGGCCGCTGCCAGACAGCTCGTCCCACCGCCGCTTCATGGCACGGTACAGGAACTCTTCAACCTCCCTCTCGGGGAGAATGTTTGGGTCCCAGAGCAGCTGATCTTCATTCTCATAAGCTAACAGAAAAAGCACTGAAATGAGCTAATCAGAGAATTCTGCTGCTTTTGAGAAACGGCTGCACGTGCACGTGTGGCAGAGGCGGGAGGAGGGAGGACAGCCCGCCTGGCGCGCCAGCAGCAGCCATCTGCGAGGCACTGCCTTCACCCTCCTCATTCCGAGGGCAGGTAAGCATAACACCTTTTATACCTCTTTTAGAGCCCTAAGCACAGGCTCGGCTTGCTTCCACTTCTTTGGAAGGGCGGGCTGACAAGGTTTGTGTTACCGCGTTCTCAAAGACTGTTGCTCTGACTCATTAATCCTGGCAGCTAAACCCCCCAGGTTCTAAGGTGTCTTTTCCAGCACACAGTGAGCAGAAGGGGTGGGAGGTGAAGGCAGGTTTGAGCTACAACCCTGGCCTAGGCTTGAGACCCTCTCCCAGCCCTAGTGACAAAACAAAGGAGCTGCAGGGCTGTCCCTTCCGTGAGAGCTGGTGACACCCTCCACCACTCACAGCAGCAGGAGCACTGGGTGGTTCCTGCCCCAGCTCCTGGTCCGTAAGGACGTGGCACGTGACAGCGTGGAGATGTTTAAGTAAAGTAAGAGCACAGAGGAAAGCAAGAGCAAAGACTGCAATTAAAAATAATCAGAAATACTGAGATTTTTCTATTCAGATAAAAACTTTAGCACCCTCTGTACTTAGCTGCTTTCTACAGGCAAAGGAACCAACTCTTCTGCCCTGTAGAATCACTAAAATCAGGTCAGAAGCACAAAACCCCCACCGGGATCTACTATCCGTTTCACTCCACACTGATGCAAACGTTCAGGTTATGGGAAGTGTGCACTGAATCTGTGGCCTTCAATACAGAGTGCTGAGAGCACTGATAATGTAACAGTGAAAGGTTCTGAGAACTATGCTGGGTAAATCTGAGACAGAACCTACAAAACTGGTAACTTCCAGCTGCTTTAAGTGATTCGCTCAGAGTCTGCTAGGATAAAAGAACCAGGGAGGAATCAAGTCATTTCTCAAGATGTGGCCTTCTGTTAGCCATCGTGTCCAGAAACTCAGCAAGCTGCTGCTGCCATTGCACGAGTTACAGCCACAACCTGCAGATCAAGGCACCCCTATCTACTCCGCAGACACCCCGTCAAATTGGAAACTCTCAGCTCCAGGGAGTACCGGGCGTTAACTCTGGCCACTTAGGGAGAATGTCAGAGAAAAATAAATTGGACTGTCTCCAGAAGGGCATCGCTTCTCCTCGGCTGCAGCTGAGACCCTCCTCCACACCAACCCAGGTGCCACGGGGCCCCCTGATGGCCACGGCGCCAGCCCTGCTCCCCCCGGCTGCTGCAGCCCCCGCGCCAGGCCGGCGGCCCCGGCCCCACCACACGCAGCAGGCTGCCTTACCCTTCTCCCCGTGCCTGTTTGAGTGGAGGATGGGAACAGCGGCTTGGTACTGGGGTCCAACCATGATCTCCTGAAATATCACCCAGAGAGGAGGGTCAGTGGAAATGGAAGAGGCTGCAGGCAGGGCCCAGCGCTCCCTGATTTAGGGACTACGACACCACGCGCCCGATTTATGTATCGGTAGTCCCCACTGTCACTATTGCTTCTAGGGAACCCTGACTATTTTATAGGGTAACTAAGAAGATTTACTATCAACTAGACGATGCTTTGGGGACCTCAGGCATTTACATAGTTTTAATGTTAAAGATATATGGCAAGCAGCTGAGGCTGGAGATAAAGAAATGCTGAAGCTCTCTTGCAGCCTTTACAGCCAGGATGAATTTGGAAAATTCATCCTCTTCCATTTTGTAAGATGGTTCCTCAGTAAATCCTGCTGGGAATATTGCACAGAGTTTCACCTTTATAGGGCTACAGGCTGCAGTTTTAATTTACTAAGGCATAACAGCATTTTCCACATCTGAAGCAGAAGATAATTTCAGATACAGATTTCAAGAGCATATTAAAAAAGCCTCTGCCTTCCACAAAATGCAAGGCGCTGAGCAAAAGAAAATAAAAGATTTCCTGGGGAAACATCCCAGTGCTTTGGCGTCACTCCGCGCAGCGTCAGCTCCCCTTCCCAGGGCACTCACACCATTTACCTTCTTACACTCGTTGGATGGGATGGAATCCTCCTCTGACTCGTCAGCCATGGAGGAAGCACATGGAGATGAACAGGGCTCTTTATCTTCATCAGCAAGGAAGTTGTTTGCTTTGTGGAAAAGGAAAAGATTTGTACTTATGACATTTTTTTTTTTTCCTGTTGTCCTACGTTCCCTCTCCTTCCCTTCATTTTCTGTTTTAAAGTTACTTTCAGCACGGTTCAGTGACAGCTTGGCTGTATTTTAATTTTATCCTTCTAAATAATAAGAGAATGTGCACACTCCCCAGAGGGGTGGTGCCGACCAGCCAGGGGAGCTCAGACCCCCTCGTTTCGCAGGACAGCAGAAGGAATAAGATCACTTCGTGCTGAGCCTCTCCCTGCACTCTGGCTTCCCACATATCCCAGCGTTTAGGAGCTGCCACAGTCTATCACACCGCTAGTACTACTGAACCTACTCACTGCTAGAGATGCCAGATCAGCACTGACCTTTCAGACTGCAATTGTACAGGCAGCAAAACAATTCTCTCTCACTCAGTGTTATGAGCTGCAGCTAAAGACGATTCTCCCCTCGACCCGCTGCTCACCTACACGCTATCACGTCCTAACCACTGGCACTCAGGTTTATTTGCAGCCCCCAGACGGGGAGGGGAAAACCTGATGTCAGGAAACTAAGTGACAAAATAAAATTAAAAACATTCTTGCCCTATCCTGCACATCACATTTAAGTAAAAACCAATTACTTAGCAATTAGCAACACATACAGCCAGGCTGGTTGGGGAATAGGTCCGATGCATCGTGGGATGTGACGGATGGAGTCAGATCATCAGCTGAAGACTGTGTCTCCTCCTCTTCTTCCCCTGAAAGCAAATCCTTCGCTATTTGTTCCTTTTAACAACAACAAGAAAGTGAAAAATATTTTTAAATTAAAAATTATATGAGGGGGGGTGAGGCCTAGAGTAAAGTATTTCTGGCCAAGGGTGGCCGCATCCACAGACCTCCTCACCCTCCCACAGCCTGTCCAAAGACAGATTCTCCCTCTCACTGCCCACCACCTCCAGACTATTTTCCCCAGCAGCACTTCTGGAAGTGTCAAGAACAGCTTCCCATGGAAGCCAGAGAGAGGACAAATAAGTGGCCCTCTCTGTAGAGCTCCACTCACAGCAAATATCTCAAAGATACTAGGAGAGAAAAAAGCTTTCTACAGACTTCAGCTAGAACAGGAGGAGCCACAGCTTCACCTGGGAAGACACAAACCTTCCCTGACTCCCCACAGATCCACATCTACCTGCAAAGACTTGTAACCCAAGTTCCAAAAAGTTTTTACAGCGTTCTTTTTAAAGCAGTTGCCCCTTCTCCAGTTTCCTCTAAACTCTTTACATTCACATTTCCACACCCAGCGTCCTCACTGGGACACCAGAACAGGGGGAACCTGTCAGGGCCCTTCCCCAGCATTAGTCAACCCCACCTGAGAAGAGCTCCCAGGCATGTGGAGCTCCGGGACAGCCCAGTAACCCAAGAGCACCCCCCAGCAGACAGCAGCTCTTACCTTATCCAGAGTCATGTCTGGGAGATTTGGAGTAATATCATTGCTCTCACTGTCCTGCTCCGAGATGGGGTCAGATGCCTCATAGCCATAAAGTGCAAGCAGCTCCTCAAATGGCATTTCACTGCTCTGGGCGAGAGGAGGACAAAGCTTCATCAGGAATGGAACAATCACCGAGCACACCACCAGCTGCAGTGAACAGAGACACGCAGGGGCAGTGGCGGCAGCTCCGCTCGCGGGGCTCGGCGCTGCCCGGGCAACGCTGCCTGGCAAAGGCAGAAGGGTCTGCCAGGACCCACCTCAGCCTGCTCCTCTCGGAGGGACGGAGAGAACAAGAAGTTTCACCCCAAAGCAATAGTCAAGGCCATCTTTAAAATATATTTATTTTTAGCTCATACTGGCGAAGAGACACTGTACCCCACAGCTGTATTTACAGGGCAAGGGAAGGACCAGGTCCCCATGTTAACTCTTGTGCCCAACCTGAAGAGACTGTCACCAAGGACACGCTTTGTGTGCACCAAGGTCTCCGTGGGACCACCACGTCACCTCATCTTGGCAGCTCCTCCACGGTGAAACAGGCACTGAACACGCCCCAGCAGCTGACGGCGCATCAGCGAGGGCAGCGAAGGCCACCTCGGCAGAGCCGCTACTTGCCAGAGGAAGGCTCTGAGATCCACTGCCATCGCCTGCTGTCAGAACCATTCCTTCCCATCCAAATGCACACCCAAGGCTCGCTGATGGGCCTAAACCCAGCGCGCTGCCAGCTGAGCAAGCCAGAGCTTATCACAAAGATCTTTGGTACTGGTACTGGGACAGCAACAAGAAAATCCGACAGGTCCTTTCCCTTCCCCTCCCCTGCTGCCTTTACCTGAGAGGCACTGAAACTCTTCTCCAGCTCTTCTAAGGATTTCTGCTTCTCCTGAGTATCATCATCTTCTTCCCTTTCTTCCCGCACACCATAGTTCTGCGAAAGGATCTCTGCAAGGTTCAGTCGATGGTCAGCTGAGCCCATTGACACAACTGCAGGGATGAGAAGTCAGACACTGTCACGCCCTGGAGCCAAGCACCAGCTGTAGCAAAGCTGGGGACAATCCATAAGCCAGAGGAAAAGATTAGGTAGGAAGGAGTGAGAGGGGCTGGGGAGCTCAAGGGGAAGAAGTGCTCTGGGAGTGCCAAACTGCAAAGCCTGGCTCTCTGCACAGCCGAGTCCCACAGCTGACTGACACCCCCTAGCCGGAAGGTTTTCTGTGTATCCACGTGTCCCTCCTGACTGGATTCACCAGTGTCACAAAATGGGAACACACACTGCAGCCTTTTCTTCACCCGAGGCATTTTTAGGATAATTACCCCTTACTGCAAGAATGGGCAAAGGGACACTTGTAGGAGCTTTGCCACCTTTAAGACCTTCCTCCTCTGTCAAACGGCGTAGGAATCAAGCACCAGGTTCGGAAGATCTTGGGAGGAGAAGGGAACAGAGAGGCTGATGACAGGAGCCTTGTTTCCTCTGGAAACCAGACCAACACATAAACCGTGGCTACCTGCTGCACTCTGAAGGCCAGGATCTCCAGGACACAGGCTGCGGGCTGGGTACGGCACCACCCTCGGGCTCTGCCTGCCCACCGAGGCCTTCGAGGAAAGAGAGGAACAGGGCTGAGACATCTCCTCTTGAAAACGTAACACACCTCCCGCCACTCAACCCCACCAGCAAATGCAATTCGCTTAATTTCAAAGCGAAAGTTAACAAAACCCATACAGAGCAGCATCAGAAACTGTGCTGTGCAAAGAGAGCTCTGGTCAAGTGCGTTTAACAGCTCTCCCAGGCCCCCTCTCCTCTGGGTCTCCCACCTTCACCTCAGTCTCTAACTGCACGCAGCAGAGCTTCCATTTTATCTTTTCTACCTTCAGCACTCCGCTAATTATTTATCCTCTCACCAGTTTAAGACCTCGGATTTTTATGGCTTACATCTTCACTCAGAGAAGGACTTTGGCCCTAAGCCATTATTCTGAACACACACACCATGCTTGTTTGAACAGTGTTTAGGAACGGCCCCGCTCCGGAGAGGCACCAGGCGCTGCCACCACAACGCGCCAGCTTCACCCCAGGGCCTCACCGCATCCAGAAGGCTCAGAGGGGCGAGCAAAGAAACCAAGAGCTGAGCAGGCAGCAAAGGAGTCCGGTAGGACTGCGAGTGGCACAGGCAAGGCAGGAGAGGATGAGACAAGTAGATACCGAGAACAGGCACCTGCTTTCTGGCCTTCAGTGCTCGGTCAGGAGTTCAGGCAGCAGTATGGGCTGAGGCCTGGAAAACAACCCAGAACATCTGCTGCTCCTTGGGCTGCTGTACATGGAAATGCCTCTCATCAAGTTCAGCCTAGGTGGGGAGCAAGCAGGTAATTAACCAATGCTTTAAGGTGACTGAGAGCATCCGACTGCGGAAGAAAACCAGTGTCAGTCCCCCAGTCACCAGTGACATCTCCTCAGGATCCTCGGCCATTCACCACCTCAGCCGTGCACCATTACTCCTCACTTAGTCAGCGGGAGCCAGGACTTCTGCAGCGCTTCAGTACGAGGCTCTTACAGCTTATTTAAAACACGGTACAGCTTCACATCAAAACTGTATCCTCTAACAAGAGAGGAAAGTACATACCAAAAGAGCCACCCCAGACTTTGGGTTCTGAGTTAGTGCCCTCAGGTGTCAGCACATTCCGTAAGGACCAGAGAGGCAGCTCTCTCCTAGACACAATTACTGCTGCGATAACGGCTGAAGGCAGCAGCAGACACTGCCATACAAGAGAAGGACCAAGAGGGAGGGAGAGGATCTGTGACACAACTGTGGAATTCCTGCTCCTTCCTCTACCAGGACCGTGAGAAGCAGCAGCCTCAGACCCAACCGAGTGCTCGCCACGTGCTGTGCTCACTCCCACGAGCATGGAGTATTGGCAGCAAGAGAACCCCCTGGAGACCACTCTGGGTGCAGACAGAGCCCAGTCACCCGCAGACGAAGAAAAGGGAGGAGTTCATGGTCTAGTGAAAGGATGGGAAGGACTCAGGCAGCCTCTGCTTTGAGGATGGTCACAGCAGGAAATGGCTTCATAACTCGGGAAAGTGTCAGAGCCCCTTTGCTGGAACATGACCAAGTACAGAACCCTCTTGGATAAATCCTTCCAAGCAAACAACCCCAGTTTCATGAAAAGGATAAGGGTGGAATCTACACTTACTCCCTCTCGTCTCAAGGCATCTGCAGAACTCTCTTTCCTGAGACAATGATCTATAAATCAATTGCGCCTCCTTCGTGCGGGGATCAATACGGAACCGCACGTGAAGGACTCTGCAAACAAAGACTGAAACTGTTGGCAGTGGATGGGCTGGCTTGAAGAGATGTCAAGAACACTTCAGGAATGAGGAGATCTTATACTAACGATCAGGTGCTGAGATGAAGAGTGATAGTCAGTGTGACAGGGTGACAACTCAGTAACTAACCAGGGGTTTACTGCCCCGAAGCAGGAACGCGATGCCAGAGCAAGCGGGAACCGCCATGAGCTGGAGTCATCGCGAAGTGACAGCAGTGCTATGCTTGGGCTGAGAAACAGAGAAACAAGTGACGGACAAGGCCCATTCCATCCCCAAATTTAAATGTGGGAAACCGAATGATCCCTCCGATTATTTACAAATCCAGAAGACCACAGAAACAAGAGTTGAAGGAGGAGAGGAGAAAGGCAGCTCTGGCTTAAACACGGAAACAACGACAGAGAGAACATTGCTGACTGCACCGATCGCTGACGCCACGTTCCTGCGTTGGAAGGTGAGGAAGCTGCAACATGTGAGCTCTGACGCTGCGAATCCAGACGTCAGGCAGGACATGCAATGCATGACACGTGCTAGGACGGCAGCAGGGCGCTGCCAGGTACCCCCAGACCAAGGCCGGTTCTCGGACAAGGTGCAGATGCTTGTGTTGCTCGTGACAGTTTTGGTCACCACGACAGGTCACGGCGGTGAACATCGTTTATTCCGACAGCGCAGCCTGATGCTGGAAACGGGCTCCTACACCCACGGGCCATTTACTGGCGGGGGAAAAAAAATCTCACTTTAATTTTCCCAGCAGCTGCTTTCCTGCCACTAGTCTCAGGCATGAGAATAACTTTCCCCTCTCAAAAGTTACACAGAGGTTGGCCAATTACTCACTCACATTTGTATTTCTGGATGACTCCAGCACTCTCTCCTTAATTCTGGACTCAAGTTTTTGAGTACATGGAACAAAGCAACGGCCGTGTTTTAGGATACACAGGCAGAGGAAGAGCCTGAGCTTTCTGCACCAACAAGGCTGTTTCTCAGTGCAAGGCAGATAGTTTCTCCAGAGAACTACTGGAGAAAACCCTTCAGGCTGAAACCACTCCTGCAAGAAAGTGAGTGAAGATGGAGAAGGTTTCCCTTTCCAGTGTTACTACTTCAATAACTAACGTGGTTCCCTGAGCTAGTGTAACACCCATTTCAGACTTGGTGAGAGAAGCGTTCCGTGTTCCTTTGCCTTCTCTGTACTACCAACATAGGTCCATTTTCTGCAAACTCCAGCCGTAGCCGGAGGGAAGCAGAATGGATGGAAACAGATTCCTCCTGTAAGCTACAGACCTGAAAAGCAGGGCCTTGTGTCGAGCAGAATTCGCCACAGGTGAGGCGCCTCAAGTTCCAAGATCATGCGAGAGAGCAGCAGGTACCTCGATGCCTGCCCAGCGCCCTTCGCCCATGCTGTGGCACCACAGGGATCTCATGAGGTGTGGATGGGCCACGACAGCAACGGGACAGGGACGTTTTGAGGACGCGACAGGGAGTGGCATCACCAACCGTAAGCGTGGGGGGTGACGGCTGTAACGTTCCGGCAGGACACGGCAGGACACACCTCGACGGGAGAGGTGCAGGAACACCTCCACCCAGCACCACAGCTCGAGCTGTCCCCGCCTGGGCGGTTGCCCCCGTCCCAGCCACCCAAACCCTCCCCGGCCCTCTGCCGTTCCCTTGGCCCCGACCTCCGGGCTCTGCCACTGCTCAGGCCCCGCTGGTGACCTCCAGCCTTTGCGAGCCCCGTTCCAGCCGCTCCGCACCCCTCTGACCCCGGCTCCCCTGCGACCCCACCCCGGGGGCTCCGGCCTCGCCACCGGCACCTCCCGCCCCAGCCCGGCC